TTTTTTTTTTTTTAAGCATTTGAAGTGTGGATTTCGTATGCGAACTTCTAATTTTTCGGTAAAAGTTTGTGTCTTTTTAAATTTTGAATTGACATGTATGCAGAATAAGATACCCGCGATACGTTTGAGCTGCGGAAGCATGATCGAAAAATGGGAAGCGTTGTTTTCGGGTAGTGATGAGCCTCGGGAGATAGACGTGTGGCCTTATCTCGAGAATTTGACGGGCGATGTGATATCTCGGGCCGCATTCGGGAGTAGCCATGAAGAAGGGAGGCGGATTTTCGAGCTCCAGAAGGAAAAGGTGAAGCTCGTTTTGGAGTTGTTGCAGTTCATATTCATCCCCGGATGGAGGTAAATTTCGAGAACTCAAATATACGTTTTGTATCACAATTTACTTAATTTTCAGACAAAAGAAGAAAAAATATAGGTTATTGCTTGACTTATGCCTAGTATCATATGCCAACTTATGCTTTAAGATTGTCTATAGTTAGAAAGATTCTTTAACTACGTGCTTTCGCCCGATAGATTTTTCCCGACCAAGGCAAACAAGAGAATGAAAGCGTACTCGGAGGAAGTCGAGTTCTTGTTGAGGGGTATTATAGACCAAAGGATCAAGGCAATGAGAAGGGGAGAAAAAGCTTGTGATGATTTGTTAAGCACATTGTTGGGGTCGAATTCGAATTCGGATGGAACTCACGAAAATGGTAACCAAACGGACACGAAAATGAGCATCGAGGATGTGATTCACGAGTGTCGACTCTTCTACTTTGCGGGTTCAGAAACAACTTCGCTTCTACTCGTGTGGACAATGGTGATGCTTGCCAAGCATCAAGAGTGGCAAGACCGTGCGAGAGAGGAAGTCTCTCGAGTGCTTTCGAACGACGAGCCAAATTTCGACAACCTTAATCGCCTCAAAATCGTGAGGATCTCTTTTTAGTAATAGAAAGACTAAGATTCTTGATTCTCAACTATTTTTCATTCTTATTATAGTAACAAAATATCTTCTTTTTTTTTTCGTAGGTGACCATGATTCTCAATGAGGTGTTGAGACTATATCCGCCGGCCCCACTGCTATCACGAACCCCTAAGAAGCCGGTGAAGCTTGGGAACATAAATTTACCGGTTGGTGTCGATTTGATTTTGCTGATAGGTATGCTTCACAACGACCCGAAGATTTGGGGAGATGACGCGAACGAGTTCAAGCCCGAGAGGTTTTCGGACGGGATCTCTGGGGCTACCAAAGGACAATTCTCGTTTTTGCCGTTTGGCACAGGCCCGAAAGTATGTGTCGGGCAGCATTTCGCGATGATGGAGGCGAAGTTAGCTATGGCCGTTATATTAAAAGGCTTCTCGTTCGAGCTTTCCCCGAATTATCGACATGCTCCTTTCCCTATTATCACTCTCCAACCACAACATGGGGTTCCCTTGGTTTTGCATAAGCTATAAACAATGGGACTTAAAACTTAAACGAGTTATTTGCCTTTCTTCTTCACTTGTTTTTGTTAAAAGAAAGTGTGTCAAGTTTAGAGAAGTGCGTGTTACATAGTTTTATTTATGGAATGTTGTGTAGATTTTGAGTATAGAGAAGTTCTAATGTGGGTCAAATATAATGAGACAAAATGAAGCCTCGGATTTTCTCAAGGGCACATCTAATGTAATCTCATCACGCACGCACGGGGCCACTAATCAAGACTTTTCCAGAAAACCAAATTATAGCACAAAAAGATTAGAAGGCTCCTCTTTCTCACGTTTTATTCGGTCTTTAATCATTTGTTTTTAATAAATAAAATTGAAAAAAAAAAAATGCATTATGAATATATTATATATGCCTTTTTATATTTGGACATGAACTAGTGAGAGTTTCTTACAGCATGATGTTATTTTTGGCTTTGGCTAACTGCAAATAGTCAATAAGCGTGCTTCTAAAATGATTAGTATGATAAAAGTATGTGCAATTGTAAGTTCCTTAGGGCAGCTCCAACCCTGCGCTACATTGATAGATTACGCTAGAGTTGTGTAAATTTTATCCTCCAACCCTGCGCTATTTTTATGCGCTAAAATACAGATTTTTACAGTACTGCGCCACATCTGGCGCAGTACTATTCATCTGCGCTAGCTTTAATCTTCTATTTTTTTTTTATTTGCGCTAGCTTTAATCATTTTTTTTTCAACTGCGCTGATTTAATTTTTTTTTTTCTTTTTTAATATAATTTTGTTTTTTGTGGAGTTCATACTTTTTTATTGTTTATATATATTATATTATATATAATGTTTTATGTAATGTTTTTGTATAACATTTTGTATAAAATTAAATATATACAATATATTAAAATTTACTTAAAATAAAAATTAAGTAAAAAAATAATACATTTACCGTAGAGTGAGATGTAGTTTTTTATTCATTGATGTATTATATATACCAATTCATTTGAAATAAAAATAAATAATATATTTTTATTATTTTGTGAATAAATATTTATATAAGCAATTTATTTGAAATAAAAAATGAATAAAAAAATAATATATTTGATGTGGAGTAAAATGTAGAGATAAGGGCTGGAGACGAATGTTTAACTCTACTCTAGAGTAGAGTAAAGTCCGCGCTAGAGTAGAGTTAAGGGCTGGAGATGGTCTTAGTCATATACACAACTAGAGGTGTAAACTAGCTGTCCCGACCTTCTGATACTCGAGCTCCAGCTTTTATCGAGTAGAGTCATGGCTCGTTTATCATATTAACGACCCTAGCTCACGAGTAGTTCGCGACAATGACCAAAAAAAGAAAGGAAAAAAAATAAAATCAAGACCAAAATTATTCAAGAGGGACCCATGAACTGGGATATAATTCTTTGGGTTAAAAAAATGAACAGATTAGGATGGTATAGGCAAACTCATGAATACAAGCAGAATACTCAGAAGGTATATTGTTAACAGATCAAAAACAATAACAAACAAGGGGGGAAAAAAGGGAAGGGCTTAGATAATTGTGACAATGTGGTTCCACTCCTTTCCCGAGTCTTTCAAATCGAAGCAACAAATTCAAACGAGCGGTCGAAAATAGTATCATTGCCTCTGTAAGAATTTACTAAAATCAACGACAGTATAGAGATATACATACGTACTTAAAAAGATGTTAACTTCGCTTCATTGTGGACCGAAAGTAACTTCCTATAAATAATAATAATAATAATAATAATAATAATAATAATAATAATAATAATAATAATAATAATAATAATAACGATAATAATAATAATAATAAAAAGAGAAAGAAATACCTTAATTAAAAATTACAATTCTTCATCACTCTCATTATCCTAGTCGTCCAAAGTCTTGAGGTGGCCATACCTATACAATGATGAAATATCAAATAAGTCGATGTCGTTTACCAACCGAAACTATTTTTAATACATCCATCGACCTTGAGTGAGAAAATATGTATAAGTGGCTAATAATAACTGAAAATGCCCATGAATATAATCATCTAATTTGTTCAAAATCAAAGCTATATCAAGAAAAATAACAAATAAAATGGACAGCACAAAGCTAGACAACCTTGCTATGCCTTATCCAGTCGTTACAGTTTGTACCGATTAATAAATGATGCAAATTAAGCTGACCATTGGTCAGGCAGTTAGACCAGGAGTGGTTTAAGTCCTTTTACAACAATGATCAAATTTATAGCTTAAACAGCAAAGGAAAATGACCGAACAATCAGATTAACATCATTCTTCACTTGAATTGTGCATTAGAATATCTAATAAGTAGAACCTAACAAAGATTAAAGGAGTTTGTTTCTTGGAAAGCTTAATATTGGTCTGAAAAATCCCTCGATGGAACAAACTGCAGTCAAAGTTGCTTCCAAAAGCACAGAAAATCAACAATTCAAGAAAAAACCTACTTGAACTAAAACCAAAGGAACTAAAAAGCAGCTAATTTTACTCGTTGGAAATGCACATGGTCTGCAGGAAGAAATCACCTTGAAACTCAATTATCAGCACACGAAAGCTGCAGGATTTAACCTATCAAAGTTACAAGAACAAGGCAGTCGAAACTTACTCTACAAAATACTCTGCCAAGAATCATCCCGTAAGGTATCGGGCCGAGCTGTCGCGAATCGCGGGACGCATAGATATTGTCCCCTTGAATCCACACATGACCCTTCGGCACCTAATTTCAACCGCAGCAACATTCAACGTTAGCAAATCGTTTTCCTAATCAAACAGAACAAAGAACCCACCAAATCATGTAGCACATAAATGAAAATATCACTTGACATTTTATTTGAGAAGGTCAAACAGAAATAAAAGAAAACCCATCAAATTTTTACTCACTTCCACTCCCAAAGGCAACAATTTTACTAACAATTAGTAAAAGAATTATGCAACAACAGCTAAAACAAAAACCCACCAAATTTCTACTTACTTCCACTCCCTAATCCAACAATTTACTCACAGAACTAAACAACAACAACAGCTAAAGCAATCGCTCAAGAAGGTAACCATATCCATTACTCATCCATACCACTAACGAGTGAGAGCGGTCGCTTCCACTGGGGTCCACCAAGAAGGTGACCACATCACCCTCCAACCCCAGAACGCGCTTCGTTATGGACTTCCGGGGGTTTTCCGGCGACCGCACCAGAACGACGTCGCCGGGGCCCACCTTTCCCAGCCTGTGCGACATCTTGTCGACCAGCAAAACGTCGCCAGTGAAATTCAGCGTCGGGAGCATGCTCGGGCCGTAGACCTTGATCGAAACCAAACGTTTCAGTTGCCTAATTGATTTCGCGCGAGGGAAATTGGGGACAAACAGAAGGTAAATTAGCTTACTAGGGTTGGCGAGCAGATGTAGGCATCAGTGACGTGCAGAAGGGAGAGAAATTGGGCGAACACGACGGAGTGACCCAGGGCTTCTTTGGCCGTGGAGCGCCATTGACGAGCGAATTGAAGCAGCTTCAAAGCGCTCATCGTCTCGATGGAGTTCCCATTAATGGCGCCCAACGCTCAAGAGATGGCAGTGTATGTGGGGCAATATGGTAAATTTTGCAGCTATTTGTCATTTTCTTTGTATTTCTTGTCAATTTTCACCTTTTTAAACATTTTCCTTCTTTATTAGTAGATAGTTCATAATTTTAGTGTCTTCTAAAGAATTTAACCAACTAGTTGAGTTCGGTTGGACTTAATATATTTTCAGTGTTAAATGATTTACTTATTATCGATTATTATATCAGCTCGAGCTCGTTAACTCAACTAGTCGAGTTCGGTTCCACTTAGTAAAAACTCGAGTATCAAGAGCTCGAACTCGCTCGACCTATTTACATCTATAATTATCACTACAATCAACAACATAAACTTCATTATATACCAAGCAAAGCAAGCCACAATTTAGTATATTGCATTTCGATCATAAAAAAAAAAAAAAAGTAACTATAACAAAAGTTTATTTAATAATTTGAGGACAGTATGCAAAGGCTTCATGCATATATGTTATGAAGCTCCCTTTATATCTCCCCTACGCATAGATGCAACTGCCATAACCTGCAAAACAAAATTCAAATATATGTTAACCCAAAATGAAATTAAAATTTTGTAATTAGCTAATCTTTATGGAAAAAAAAAAAAAAAAGCGTGATCGAGCTTTACTTGGATCGGTTGTCACGGTGATTGCCGAGTTTTTGAAATCACAATTCCAAACGTTTCTGCCATAAGCCTGATAGTAAATATTCATGGCAACCGAGGCATGGCTCACGAGGTTATCGGGTTGAAAACAAGGGTGGCCCGGCTGGAAAATCGAGCAGTCCAACCCGACTTGTACGCAAACGTAGTAAAGATTGCTGTTCAGAACTGCCACGTCAGACGAGGGCTTGGCCACACACCATGTTTTCTGCAAAAAAATTGTCGAAAAAAATTAAGTAAATGAAGAAAGTTACAAAAAACATGTATATATGTATGTATGAGTACCTGTGATTGATCAGCTAGTGATATTCCCATGTTACAAACTGCAAAAAATGTCACACGTTTTGATCCTTATTAGTAATTGAGTAAGTCTCATGGGGAATTTCGACTTTTATGTCACGAAATCTGATGAAAAAAGCACGAATATTTTACCTGAAGCGAAGGAAATCAGGAGCGAAAGGGCGATTAAAGACTTTTTAGCCATTGATTGTTGATCAATAATTTTTTTTGTGTATATGTAAGTGAATTTGATCGATTGGTGAAGAATATATGCAGCCTGAGGTTCTATATATAGATCATATCTGTGTTCTGTTTAGCCTGTTGCTTGTTAGTAGGTTTTATCGAAAACGAGACAAGATCAAGGGGAGATCGTTCTGAAATCCTATCATTATTTCCTTATTTGTCGAACATGTTTCCTTTTATGTTCGCTCATTACTAACTAGGGAATCCACTGACGATAAAAGTCGACCTGCATTGATGGATATTTCCCAATATATCTTTGGAAGGTTTGTTGTGTTTGGTTAACCTTGTGTAATGCATGTCCCAAATTTCCTCTGCAGTTAATGAGAAAGGAAAGTGTGAGATTCAATCTTACACTTATGTTTTGAAGTTTCGATTTCGTATTGCAACCGAGTCTTGTCTGATTGCTCGTGTTCGAAACATCGGTTGGTTCTGTACTAATATCTATATGGAAGATTATATGAGCTTATCGGGCCTACGGGCCGTAGGAACCGGGCCCAGCCCGGATAACTACAACATATATTAGAAATTGGATGTGATGTGACACTCCAATTACTTATTTGTTTTGTCAGCTGATCCAAATACTCATAGTTTGTGAATAAACAGAAAATTACTGGCCTTGCACACTGAATTGTCAATTTAAGAATTAATTGTTATATTAAGATGGGGAAAGAAAAAGGAAAAAATAAAATAAATAAATAAATAAATAAATAAAGAGCCCCATATTTCTATGAATATATATTATAGGCTAGCTATAAGTCAGTGACCATCAAATTCAAGTGGGGCAATAAATGGTTGGCAAAATATGGAGAAGGAAGGTAATCAGAAGGAATGTCTATAAATTCTTTAAATCCAATAAAAGATGAGAAAAAAT